AAAAAAAAAGTACAGGGTTGGGCTGGGGCCATCTCCAAAGCTCCACTTCACCTAGGATTCACATTTCCGTTGGAGAGCAGAAGCAGAATAAACTGTTACATCTTCAATTCCTTTGTCTCAACAGCAGATGGCACTCTATCACTGCCAAATAGCTTGGATTCTGTCACAGACCTCCTGAAAAGCCTCTGGAGTTATCAATTGCAAAAAAAGTCCAAACCCCTTAGCTTCTGGGGCTCCTGAACACATAGCCAAAGTGGTAACCCTGCTCTGTACCATTGCAAGTTTTTCCTTCATCTAGTCTCATCCAATCTTGTAAGAAACATTTATTGAGCACTTACCATAATGGCAGGCCCTGAGCTGGTGGTGAACTCAGTCATACAGTGGGCAAACACACTTGAATAGAAATGACTGTGGTACACGTGAGTACTGAGTGTGATGAAAGGAACACACCAAATGCCTCAAGGGATGAAGACATATAGGCTTCATGGGTATGGTGGGAGATTGTATGTGAGGGAAGTTTAAAAGGCAAAGGAGGCTGGGTATGGTGGCTCATACCTGTAATCCCAGCACTTTGGGAGGTGAAGATGAGAGGATTGCCTGAGCCCGGGAGTTCAAGACCAGCCGGGGCAACTTGGCAAGACCTTGTCTCTACAATAAATCAAGAAAAATTAGCCAGGTGAGGTGGCGCACGTCTATAGTTCCAGCTACTCAGAAGGATCACCTGAGCCCAGCAGGTCAAGGCTGCAGTGCCACTGCACTCCAACCTGGGGACAGAGTGCGATTCCTACTAAAAAAATAAAAAATAAAAAAAGGCTAAGGAGGTGTGTGTCAGGTATTCCAGATGTGGAAGCAGCATGGTGAAACAGCAGAGACTGAAGTGGCTTCAAATGGCCAGGAGGGAGTGGAGATCCACTTAGAAAGGCTTCCACTCCCTGCAAAGAAGCCTGGGCTTCATCTTGTAGACAACAAGGAGTCCCTCAAAGTTTTAAACTCAGACTGAGAATAGGCCAGATAGGAGGCTGAGCAGCTGACTGGTGAGTCATCCAGCCTCTGCCTGTTCCCACGTGGAACACTACAACAGCTCCAGTCATCCCCTAATGGCTCCCCTGCTCTCTCTGGCCCTACTATAGTCCCTTCTCCACACACAGGAGCAAGAGAGTTTTTTCAATCTATAAATCATCCATGACACCATAACACTAAAAAAAAAAAAAAAATCCCTTCTGTAGCATCTCAGTGTTCTTAGGATAAAATTCAAATTCCTTCCCAGGGCTCACAAGGTCAACCTGGTACCTTCCTTCCTCCCATGGGAGAGAGACAAGAGGCATTCAAGGTCTAGGGAGGTGAAAGTCTTCCTGTTTCATTAATTCAAAAAGCATGCTAAGTACTTGCTTCTGTGAAGGCCTGTTCTAGGCATCTGAGATACAGCAATGAATAAAACAGAAATCCCTGCCCTCACTGGGCATGGTGGCTCATGCCTATAATCCTAGCACTTTGGGAGGCAGAGACGAGAGGAATGCCTGAGTCCAGGGGTTTGAAACCAACCTGGGCAACTTGGCAAGACTTTGTCTCTACAATAAATCAAAAAATTAGCCAGGCATGGTGGCGCACACCTGTGGTTCCAGCTACTTGAAAGACAGAAGCAGAAGGACCACCTGAGCCTAGCAGGTCAAGGCTGTGATGGCCGTGAGTGTGCCACTGTACTCCAGCCTGGGCAACAAAGTGAGACTCCAACATACACACACACAAAAACAGAAATCCCTGCCTTCATGGAGCTTTTCATCTAGTGAGAGAAGTTACAGAGTATGTGAGAAGCAAAGACCTCATGAAAGACTCAGAAACCAAGCATCAATGATGGATGCATGAGAGATGAGAGCAAGAGGAGGTAGGTAGGTCCAAGCAAGGGTCTACCTAGTGGCTAAGGTCTCACGGGAGAGCAGAACCAACACTGGGCCAAAGACTCAGAGTTGCAGATGGCAGCGAGAAAGCACAGGGGAGAGCCTCTGCCTCTCAGAGTTTGGGCACAGAAAATTGGGGTCAGCCCTCAACTCTCAGGAGGAAGCTGACTCCAGTCAAAAAGGAAACTAAGCCCATCTTAGTCCATTAAATGAAAATGTTGTTTCTGATTGCCTCTCTCACTGCACTGACCTCCTTGAGGGCACAGAACACCTTTTGTGTCCACCCAGCCCAGCACCTGACCGATATAGGAAGTGTGACAGACCATTAGGCTCATGGCATCCATTTCCCTCTCTCTCTTTCCAGGGTCCACAGCTAAGCCACTTTTCAGCAACCCTACAGGAAGAAAGTGATTGGACTCTGACCACTGCAAGGTGGGAAGCAATGACATACCCACTTCAAGCTGTCCCCAAGTCCCACCATGTCCTGTCTGTGTCTTTCTTGCCTACTGACCCACATGCAAAGAATGCAGTGGGGGTTGGAGGCGTGAGGGGTAGTGGAGCCACAGATGGGAGAAACACAAAACACTGTGCCCCCTCCAACACACACACTAGATTTCAGTGTGAGAAATATATATATTTCTGTTGTGTTAAGTCACTGAATTTGGGAGTGGACAGTTACAGCATGTCTACACATTGGGTAATATTAATTCTTAATTGTTAAATATTTATTAAAATGTCTTAAACAGAAGTAAGTTCCCCAAAGTTCCTCTAGCCTTGGCAGACTGGGTGAGGCATTTGGGAAACCTCTCCCTCCACTGATGGACAATTCGACCACCAATGAGGAGTCTCTCCCAGATCAGATTCTATCTCTACAGCAGAGGCAGCCCCCCAGGAAGACCCTCTTCAGGAGGAAGTCACCCTCCATGTTGTGCCCACCTTTCCATCATGTACTCCAGGTTGGTCAGTCTCGCTTCCCCCTTGGACACAATATGGATGGCGTAGGAGCTGAGGGAGCGGTGGATAAACCCCCGGGAATGCAAGTATCTCAGGGCATCAGCAATTTGGAGCAATAAGTGCACAATCACCTCCATGTGCAGCACTGGGAACTGGGACCGCTGCAAGCAAGAGATAAAATGCCAGAAAAAGGGACCAGGCCCTGACACTGTAGAACACTTTGTGATTTCCAGAGTCTTTCCATTGGATCCTCACAATTTTTCAATGCTGGTGGAGCCCCATTTTACATATGGGAAACCTCAAGTTCAGTAAGTCTAAGTGAATGACCTAGGGTCCCACTGACCAGGCCCATAAGTCCAAATCTGGACCCTTTCCAGAGTGACTTCATGCCATAAAAAATGAGAAGAAAGCTCGTAAAGTCTGGTATGTGCATCCAGCATTGGTCTGGGGAAAACTGCCAGGGGAGGATGCCCCACTACCACCCGTAAACCTGCCCTGCTCCCTCCCTGTCCCCTTCCATGCTACCGGGAGAATCTAGAAGCTCAAAGTACCCCCTAAGGATGTAGACATCGAATCTAGCACTCACCTAGTCAGATGAGCTAGGAAGTTCATCCTAAGAGGACAGAAATTCACTCACACCAATGTATCTGGCTGACCAAAGTCATAATGAGTCCCCCCACCCCCAAATAAGTGTCATTTTAAGGTAATGTCCTCACCCAAGGAGGGGGGAAGGAAAAATAGAACACTAACAGGAGGTCCTCAGGCAGGAGGAATGGCAAGCCATGTGGGGGAAAGGCCCTTCTTAGGGGGTCTCCTCTCACTTTTACCCAGAGTCTTTAGAACAGTCATGGAGGGAAAAAAAAAACAAAAACCAAGTGCTCCAAGAGCTCTGTGAACCCGCATCTCAGCCTAAAGCACACTTCCAGGGAATCTATCGGCCATGGAAGATGTCCCCCAATCCCAAGGAAGCTTGAGAGGTGAGAGGGGAGTGATATTGGCCTCTATATAAACAAACTAGGATAGAGCACAAGTAAAAATGTAGAAAAATAAAGCCAGTGGCTGTTGAATTACCATTAGCCAAAAAAATGTCTGTGTGTTCTCTGGGTCTGTTGTGCTCCTAAGATGTCTGATAAAGAAGCAGGAGTGCAGCTGGGCTCGGTGGCTCAGCCTGTAATCCCACGCTTTGGGAGGCTGAGGTGAGTG